GATATGATTTCATGAGCACAAGCTAGAAGGTTAAAAAGAAGAAGCATATGCTTATGAGACGTCAATTATAGGAGTTATGAATCACCTTAAACCAATTGATGAAGTTTTCAATGATCTTGATTTGTTTGCATGGTGCACACAACTCCTTATGTACCGACCGGAGGCATGAGAAATGTATGCAGTTCTGAAGGATAGAAGGGAACAACTTGTGACCTTTTTGAAGCATTCCACTAAGAATTTATGACTTGTTTATTATATTAATGACTTGTTAGGAGCTGACTACCATAATTTGCATAGGTAGTTAGGAATGGTGTTAGCATTAGTATATGTGTATCATATTATGTGACTATTGAATTGCTGTATGAATCAGACAACTTGTTACTTTCTTAAATATTTTGTAACTTCTACTTAAGGATTATAAACTTTATGCATATGTGCATAGGATAAAACAAAAATAGATAATGAAATTAAACTTGTGGAAGAGTATGCTAAGCGATGAAAAAAAACAGGTATATAAGTGTTTATACAGGTAGGGCATAAGTAAAGGATGTTTTAGAAGGCAATCACACATGTTATAATATGTTTAGCATGGAAAGGGATATGTTCTCAAGTCTTTGCACATAATTGCAACAATATGGTCTAAGGAAAACTAGAAATATAGGGATACATGAATTGGTTGCAATATTTTTAAATACCATTGGCCACGCGCTTAGTAGTAGAATACAGGAAAAAAGATTTCAGCATTTAAGAGAGATAATTAGCATACATTTTTATAATGTTTTAATGACATGCTGTACACTTGCCATGTCTGATATCAAAGCAAAAGATTTAACATTCCATCATTTTCGTTCAAAAATACGCCATTGTAAATATTGGTCTTTTTTCAAACATGCTATTGGAGTAGTTGATGGCATACATGTTTTCTGCATTGTTAGTGCAATAAATCAAACTAAATTTATTTCTAGAAAAGAAACAGTATTGCAAAATGTTATGGCGGAGTGTGATTCAGATGTGCTTCACTTTTGTTTTGGTCGGATGGGAAGGTAGTGCCCATGATACTTGCATATATGATCATACCCTCACAACTCCTTCAATGAACTTTCCCCATCCACGTGAAGGTATTTTTAAATTTGTTACATTTTATTTATGTTTAACTTAAAAACACAAACATTGTTGACGGCAATCATGTATTTGATATATGCAAATATTATTTGGTAGATGTTAGTTATCTCACACAAATGGATACCTTGGCCTATATAGATGGGAGCATTACCATCTGCTTGATTTTCAAAAGACATCTACACTTAAAAATGAAAATGAGGTCTTCAATTATTTCCACTCAAGTTTAAGGACTACAATTGAAAGAACTTTTGAAGTTTAGAAGAGTAAGTTTCCAATCTTGCAAAACATGCCATGCTATGAATATAAAAAACAAGTTAAAATCGTTCGTGCAACGATGGTTATACATAATTTTATTAGAATGACATCTATTACTGATATTGGATTCATCCATTGTGAAGAAGAAGGTATTTATGCACAAGAAGATGTTGATGATGGAATTGGATTTTCACACATATATTCATCAATACAATCTTCATCTTACATGGTCCGTGTTCATGATACCATAAGAGATGAACTTGTTAATTATATACAAGAGTAGTAATCATGTCTTTTTTTATTTCTTTTTATTATACGTTGTAATATGTAGTTAAAAAAACTATTATAAATGTTGCATATCGATGCAACTTCTTAATTATTATGACTCTTCTTTATTTATATTTCTTTTATTAATGTTATACCTTATATTTTCACAGCAATTATTAATTAGTTTAATAATTAATAAATTATTTTAATGTATGTTTATTCAATTTTGTAAAAAAAAAAAATACTCCTCTGGTCCTTAATATAGAACCTAATAGTTGAGTTGATTTTGGTCCTAAATATGACCTATTTATCATATTTATTAATTTTTTTTTAAATTACTTTTATGAATACTCCCTAAACCATAATTAAGTAGAAGAGGGATGGAGGATATTAAGGAAGATGATTATGGTGTTTTAAGAAGAACATGCCATATTTTTTATAATTAACTAACTTACCTAACTTTCTTAATCTAATCAAATTAGTTAAATAGGTCTTAGATTAAAGACCAGAGGAATATCATATTTGTAATCTTTAAGATAAAATAATATTTTTCTGTTGGCAAAAAAAATTCATTCTTTTTCAAAAACATTTTTAATCTTATTTTATAAATGTATATACACATACTAACAATTAATTAATTATGTTTTTTATATTTCATTTATTATATTGGCAAAAAAAAAATAGTAGCAAATTTATTACTTCAAATGAAAATTAAAATTAAAATCTATCTTTTATGTAGTTATCATATTAACTTATGTATTTTTTGGTAATTTGTACCTAAAAAAAAATACTTATGATAACAACTATCTAAACACTCTTACTTTATTAAAATTATTGTTTTTACAAAATTTATTCTGTTAAAATCTATTCTTAAAATCACCTTTTTTTTCCCCCAAAAACTATTATCTAAATCATAGTTTAGATTTATCCAAACACCCTCTAATCTTTTAAAATTTCCAACTAGTATGATCATCAAGTCCTTAATTGAGGTGCTGGCAGAAAAAGCCTTAATTGATCTGGGAAAAAAAAAAATTCAAGGTTCTTAATTAATAATTTAAAATTTTGGAATTCCGAAAGTGCCATTATTATTTTTTAGTTGGACCTAAATAATATAAGCATCAACGAGACAGGGGGAGAGAGGCTGAGTGGCTGAGGAGGGGGATCTCCCGTGTCGGAAAGAAAACAGAGCCGTACCCCGTCACAGCGGCTCTTTTCAAATGCTCAGCAGGGCCAAAACATTTAAAAAAAAAAAAAAAATCTCATCTTGATTGTTTCCCTCAATCTTGACGGCCACCGGGTATACCGGATACGGCGGAAACACCCACCAATGCAGCACATCGACAAGACCAGGTAAGCCTTTTCACTCCTCATTCACCCCCTTATACTTTGTAGCTTTCAAAGTAGAGCAGTTTTGTGATTCGTATTGAAGTTTTATAGATTTATTAAGATCCTTTTTTTATCCCTTTGTTCTTGACTTGCTGCCATTCATTTGTTTGATAAAATGCTTCTATCGGAATTTGAATACATATATTAAATTTATGCATGTTGGCAATCGGAAGTAGGATTTCTGTGGCTTTGCAAGCCCTTGTAGACATGTTTCAGGTCTTCAGCTCTTCTATTTCCGAATGACTTCAAAATTAGTGCTGATTTAATTTGATAGCATTTTCTTAAACACCTGTTGCTGTTGGTTGTTGATCTGGTAGTTCTTATAGTAAAGTGGGGACTTGTCCTTTTCAAATTCTTCATTATCATATACTTTGTGGGTTAATGAATGGCCAATAATTCCTCGTGGTTTTTATCGATCAAGCTTTCTCTTCAATATTGTATAATTTAATGCTAAGAGTGAGATACTGGCAAAACAAAGGTTCGAGTGAGATGGTCATTTGAAAATTACTTGACAGAACATGTCTAATTCGTATGCAATATGTGAGTGCTGAGTTGAGTTTGTTGCCAATAGTTTTTCAATAATTCAGTTAATAGTGCAAAACTATTTCCTATATTATGCTAGATGTAATTTGCACCAAGTGACTTGTTAAAATGCAATGCAGGAGAAAATGTTTGCATAAAGAAGTCAAATGAATTTTGTAAACATGACTTTAATATAGTGATCCCACCTTCGGCTGGTTTTACAGGCCATGTGCCTTGAGTGTGCTTTTGGCCTTTAACAACATCGGTTTTAATATTGTCGCTGTAGCTGTAGAAGGAATTTTTTTGTTATAGTTGGTCAATTCCATGGCTTTCTATGATTGTTACTATTTATTCATTTTGCTTTAGGTTAAAACACTTTTTAGCATAATTTTATCGATATTTAATGCAATAGCTCTTGTAAGTTTTATCCATATATAAACTTGTAAGATTTGGTTTAGGTTTCTAAAATTCTGGTTTACTTTTTGTACTCACACAACTTAGGGCTTGCAGTTTAAATTTTCATTCATGTCAAAATATGCTATTCTAGTAACAAATTTCTGGTTGATATGGCAAATTCGGGGTTGGCTAAAATACTGTCCCTTGGCTTAAAATTCTGAATTACTTTGAAAATCTTGATCTGTGTTAAACCAATGGTTTACTTAGTAATAATCGGGATTACATTACAAATTTTGAATTGAGCATATTCTGGTTTACAGTTGAAATTTCTGGTTTACTGCAGGGCAATATTTTGATCAGAGAATTCTCTTTATGCTTGCAAATAAAATCAACCACCTTCTTTACCTATGTAAACAGATTTCAAGTTCCCAGCCTTTTTCTCATTTACGGCCCTTCCGTTATCTCCCACCTCAACCTTCACTGAGTCAAATCAAGCAAGCCCATGCTTACATCGTTGTCTCAGGTGTCTTTGGCTATGTCGGCTTCATGGGTCATCTTCTTGCTTATCTTTCTTTGTCCTCATCGATTCCCTTGGACTATTGCTCTACAATCTTCCACACAATGAGCTTCCCTAGTATCTTCACCTTCAATAACATGATTCGATGCCTTGCCAAAGGGAATTTGCCTTATGATTCCATTTCTTTATACTCATCATTGCGACGAAGATGCTTGAAACCTAATAAGCACACTTTCACCTTTGTTTACAAGCTTGTAGTAAGACTTTGGCTATAAATGAAGGGGTTCAAGTTCACGCCCATGTGATCAAACTTGGTTTTGGAGAAGATTTGTTTATTCGAAATGCCTTGATTCACCTTTACAGTGCTTGTTCTAGAGTTGAATGTTCAAAAGGGTATTTGAAGACATGTCCTCTTCAGAGATGTGGTCACCTGGAACTCAATGTTGGCAGCTGTGATGAGAGATGGACAGATAAATGTTGCAGAGCAGATGTTTGGAAAAATGCTGGTGAAGGATGTCATCTCTCATGGAGTACGATGATCAAGGGATATGTTCAAAATGGACTGTTGGAACATGGGCTGGAGTGCTTTAAAGAAATGAGAGTGAGAGGCATAAGACCTAATGAGGCAATATTCGTTACAATGATTTCAGCTTCAGCTCAATTGGGTTTGCTTGAGCATGGTCAATTCATTCATTCTACCATTGAATCCTTGAATTTCCCTTTGTCAATTCCCATAGGAACAGCTCTAATTGACATGTATGCAAAGTGTGGCTGCATTGAAAAGTCAATATTATTGTTCAATGATATGCCCAAGAAGGATAGCTGGACTTGGAATGTCATGATTTGTGGTTTGGCTTCACATGGTCATGCAAAGAAAGTACTTGCACTCTTTCAGGACTTTATAACTGAAGGTTTCTGTCCCACCAACATAACTTTCATAGGGGTTCTAAATGCTTGTAGCAGAGCAGGCTTAGTATGTGAGGGTAGGGAATACTTCAAGTTAATGATAGACAAATATGGCATTCAACCAGAGATGGAGCACTATGGGGTGCATGGTTGATCTTTTTGCTCGTGGTGGATTAATAGATGAAGCCTTTCAATTGATTGAGACAATGGTGACTCCTCCAGACCCTGTATTGGGGGCAACACTTCTAGGTGCTTGTAAGATTTATGGATTAGTGGAAACGGGAGAGAAGATTGGAAATAAGTTGATACAACTGGAACCAACACATGATGGGCATTATGTGCAGTTGGCTGGAATATATGGCGAAAGCCAGAAAATGGGAAGATGTCGTTAGAGTTCGCAGATTAATGATTGAACGAAACACCAACAAAGTTGCAGGTTGGAGTCTGATTGAGAACCAGGGTAGAGTTCATCGATTTTTTGCGGGAGACAGAGAACATGAGCGTTCTTCTGACATTTATAAAATGCTGCAAGCTATAGGAATGAAATAACTGAAAGACTGATACTCACCAAATGTTTCACCGGTATTGCATGATATTGAGGATGAAGACAAAGAAAATGCAATTAAAGTCCACAGTGAGAGATTAGCAATTGCTTTTGGTATTTTGGTAACAGAAGTTGATGATTGCATCAGAATTTAAAAACCTAAGAATTTGTGAGGACTGTCATGAGGTGAGCAAGATTGTATCCAAAGTGTTTCAGAGAGAGATAGTGGTTAGGGATGGCAGCAGATTTCACCATTTTAAAGAAGGCAAGTGTTCCTGTCTTGATTATGGTAGATCATGATTATCTCATATCTTCTTGGACCAGAAGATCTAAGAATGTCTCTCTCTGCTGCTAGCTGTTGGGTTATAATTTATTAAACCTTAAATTATATAATTGATATAAATTTTGTGAAGGAGTTAGGACTAGTTAAGTGTTAGCAGGAATGCACTGTGATTAGCACATAATGTTTAGAGATGGAGAGAGAGAAACATGTGGTCTAATTAGGCCATATTCTGCCTGCTATCTTCAACTTCAGGCAAGTTGGTTGTACTGGCTAGTAGGTGCTGTCAATAAATTCATATTTGTCCTAATTTACAATCAACACAGGGGGTTTTAAGTGCTGGCATTCAACAATAAAAAATCTTATTTTATGATCTGCACAGGCGGGTTTCTGGGTATGGGCCATCATTGTAAGGATTTTCTGGATGTGTGATGCTGTGATCTCTGGGTTGCTCGTCAAAAAGAGAAAAAGATCTCTGGGTTAGCTTGACCTGCTTGAACTCTGAGCATGCTATTTCTCTGTCACAAGTTGACAAGTGAGTTTGTCCAATAAAGATAACTTCAGCGAATGGCCTTATAGGCTGATGACATGTAAGCTCCCTTATAACTGGGGGTCGTAGGTTTGATCTCGCTTGTAACCTTAGGCAATTAGTGTCTGCACTTCTCATTTTTTTTCTTTTTTTAAAAAAAGATACCTTCATATGGATTTTAACTGCTTGTAGTCAAACAGTTTTTGTGGTAAACCCTGGACTTCCTACAGTTAATAATGCATGACAATCACATGATACTGGAGGTGGTGCCTTTTGGTTCCTTGGTTGATCTCTCGGCATGTGCTTATTATCATAGATGAAGCTGACAATGATGGGAACACAAGTCTCACCGCCTAGAGCATGTAAGTTAATTTTATCATTTGAAAACTAATGGTTATGGACATTGTATGCAATTCTAAAAGCGAGAAAATGGAAAATTGTGGCTATGATTCTCACATCAATGATGGTAGAAAGCATCATAGAGCTGCATATTGGATATTGAATAAAGCATGGGGAATCATTTGATGGCAAAAGGGCAGTGAATAGCTGAAGCTGGTTATGGCTTTGAATCAAACCTCAAACTTTGCTACAAGTTATAAGATATACCAAGACAGGGACTGCAAATTGATGTACGCTATTAGAGGTAAGCAAATGATTGCATTTTTAGTCACAGAAGATGGAGATTGCATGATGACTGGATTGAAAATTTGTGATTATTTTTATGAGTGATTGCCATTTTTTCCCCCTTTTGGATCTCTGAAGTGTTAATTGAGAGACAAAATATAGTCAGAAATGTTTTGATAATCATAATGTATAAATGGTACTCCCTTCCGTCCTTAATATAAGTTTTGTGGCAAATTGTACTACAAAATAGGTTTTATATCCGGAGCCAGAGGAGGTATTTTTTTTTTTTTTTGGGACCACATTACTTGTGAAAACAGGATTAACTAGTATCTATTTCAAAACGTGAAGTTTGTCATGAGGTGATGTGCTGGTAGACGAATAATTGAGTCCATTTGCTGTGTTTAATGACAATTAGGGGTCTTAATTTTTTTATTTATTTTAGTTTTATTTATATATTTAGGATTTTCATGTTTGCAATATCTTTAAATAAATCCTTTGGATTGTCTTTTGAGTATCATTATCTTGTAAAATCCTATATATATATATATATATATATATATTATTTCAGATATATGGGGCCTAAATGAGGATCTAGGATATCATGCAATATCTTGTCAATATTCATATATTCACCAAAAATATAATGAATTATTTTGTCATTATCATGCAATTTACTCCTCTTGTTCTATTAAGAAGAGAATGAGAAGGAATTTTTTATTTCTATTTATAGGACAGAGAGAGAAATTTTTTATATGCATTTATAATTTTATCCTTCGTTTATTATTGTATTGATTTCATTTTCAAAGGATAGAATGTGTATTTAATAGGGATAAAGTTGAAAGGCTAAATTTTATGATAGAGTTAATAAAGTTTAAGGTTTTTTTTTTTAGTCTATGTAAACTATATTGGAAAAATAACTTATAAATAGAAACAATAACTAATAATGCTCTTGAATTACTGTGTGTATGATATCTTATCCTCTTTATCTTTAGAATAATTTTTTTTTAATTTTGCGTTAGGAATTTAAAATAAATACAAGATATATTCATTATTTTTCAAAATAAACACTTTTGTGCTTAAAACTTTTGTCAAAATCCACAATTTGCAACTACTTCATCCTTTTCAATGTTTACTATTATTTCCAATCTTTAATATATGAGTTTAATAACTACTTTATAGATATTAAAAAAATTAATTTAGTTATTTATAATATGAGTGTTGTTTTTCTTTAAATGTTTTTGTTAATCATATACATGAGGATGAAAACTTTTTAACATCTATGAAGATAATGAGGACTACTTTGGAGGAAAATAAGTAAATATGAGAGATAAAATGGATGGATTAAGATTCTATATTATAATCAATTTAAATCTTCAACCATCTTTTTAATTTGGTGACTTTAATTCGGAGTACAATCAAGAGGGACTGATTTCTTTTTTTGACCTTGTGGAAAGACTGATTTAAAAGTTTAGAAAACAAAATCAAGAGTATGCATATTAGATAAAATGGCCCATTTTATTTCTACTTGTTCAAAATGTTTCCTTACGCTTCATTCTTATCGCACTATATTTATATATTCACTTCAGAGAACGTCAAAGGCAAGTGTTTGAACTTGGCTACGAGATGCTTAACTCTTGAATGAAAAGATTATTCTTCAACACTGGATAGTCTTAAGATATGTGTGTGTTATTTTATATCTCTATGCACCTCTATGGTAGACAAAGACAATCAACCTCCAAAACGTGCCGGTTCACGTTAAGCCCTCACAATACTGAATCATCAAACCCTGAGGATCGCTAAAACTTCAATCTTGAAGCTCTGCACAATCCCCAAATGACGTCGTATGTGCTCATTGCTTCACCTTGGATGGTAAGTATTTCTCTTTTGTATAGGAATTATGGTATTATTCACGTTAATCTGACAATGACATATTGTTATTTACAGGCTAATGACAAAAATACTACGACGAGCTGGCTGGGGCTGGGGGGGAGGGGTGCCTTCCCTCATACACAGGGATCACTTCTCAAACTTTTTCTGAGGCTCCCTCCATGCACTTCCCCACTGGACATCCTGGCTTTGCGCACTTGTAGTAACAACATCATTTGATATGCACACAGACAGTGGTGGGACGCAAGACCCTAGGTAGTAGTAGGGACATGAATTATATATAGTGTAAAAATTATAGAATAAACTTGAGAATGAGTCAAGGGGTTCAAAATTAAAGGTAGTGGGGAGCAATATTCAAAACTTATCATACTTTTATTTATTTTTTTTCATGAACTTGCTAAAGAAAATGGGGTGGGGAATTTACTAGCCGTTTATTGGTCCTAATATAAGAGCTAGTTGTGGGAGGGTGTAAATTTGGTTCTAAATTTAAGAATTCAATCCATTTGATTTGTTTACTATTTCCCCCACAAACTATCCCTGTTGCTTGCACATGTTAAGAGAGTTGTGCATTAACGGAATAGTTTTCAATACAAATGATTAGTTCAATGCAAATGATTTAAGAGGGTTTTTAGATAAATCAATACATAACTTTCACAACTGACTAATTTTAAAATACTTTTTTTTAATCTACCTAAATTAATTAACTAGATCTTATATTGAGGACTGAAGTAAATATCATTTTCATAATTATGTCATAACACAATCAAAGGCAATCAGCATACAAAATTTTCAAGAGTTACTTCATCAAATAATTTGACTTTCCCAATATTTCCATGACTAGTGGCACCTAAATCTAGTAACCAAGTGGCTTTGTGAGTTTAAGAGAGAGCAAGGTTTTACAAACCTCATTGGTCCTCATTAGGAACCATGGTACTAAGTGTTCCACTAGTTCCTGTGAAGTGCTTTGTGTATGAGGTTTAGTAGCAGAGTCTGCATGAATGAAGAACTAACATCGTGAAACTAACTACTACTCCGATTCTGAAACCTGAATTGAACATGGAAGTTCCCAATGATCATAGACTACCTAATGCACAAAACCATAATAATAGTGGAGGTAATAACAAGGGTAATGGTAATGGAGGGTATTTGGACTTGAAAGAGTATGAGAAGATAATGGGTAGAATGGAATTAACAACACTAGGAAGAGATAATTGGAGAAGTTACTACCTCAGGTATTCATTATGACCCACCCAATTTTGATGTAACTTTGAGATTAAGGGTTTGGTTATC